ATCATTATTCATCTATAACATATGGAAGAATTTGTTCCATCAAGTTTTATAATTTTGCAATGGACGAATTTAGTTGTACATAAATTATGGATAAGTAAATTATTTTGTTATTCTTGACACTTTTTAATAATTCCACTATATAATAATCACCAAAATTTCATAATAGACTTTGAATCGAAACAGACTCTATTATAATATGCTCAGTATTATTAGCATTGATTTATTGTAGAACAGGTATTCCCATGTTTATTTTATATTTTGCTCTTTTATATACATATTGAGCATATGAAATGCGACTTCATGATATGTTAAACCACTTCACAAACCATATTTCATACTTATGCTTTAGATAAAAGATCAGATCTTAGTGAAAAAAGTTACACCAACAAAATTTTATAAGCAATATATATGAAAATAATGTTTAAAGAAGTCTAACATATAGTGAGATTTTTTTCTTTTTTTTTAAGATGGTAGAAAAAGTAATTTTTAACTAAATAATTAAATGTTTAAAAGAATAATTAAGACATTTAGATTATAATTAGAAATTAAATGTATCCATACTGTAGGATTACTCACTTGTCCTTAAACAAGACAAACTCGCACGTCAATCATCATTCGTATAATGTTTAGTAGGTGCGAGGTTGTTAAGTTTGATATTACGCAATTTGGCACATGTTTTTCCTAATTTTGTCTTCTTCATCATTCTTACAAATAATTTTATTAAGTTTCCATCTTTCCTACTTTTATGAAATTAGAAAAAAATGAATAATTAAACTTTTAAACCATCAATTACATTGAAGGCAAAAGTTAAGAAATTTAATAGAACTAATTTTACAACTTTTTAAAAATAATATTAAATAGAATATTTATATTAAATTACTCAAAATAAAATAAGATATTGAAAGAAATATAAATATCATATTTAAGTTTCTTTGAATATATAGAGAGATAGACTAAATCACCTTATATTATTCTAGACAACTTTAGCCTGTATATTATCTTAAATTTATATATATATATATATATATATATATATATATATATATATATATATATATATATATATATATAGTGAAATATGAGACAATGCAAATATTGTATTAGGAATATTCAACAACGCTAGACTATGCAACATTAGACGATTACATTACACGGTGCAATATCAAACAATGTCATTTCCTTTTTCTATGAAAGTTTTAAATTTTAACTTCAATAAAAATGTATTAAAAATTGTAAATGATATTTAAAAATTATAAGTTGTATATACAGTTTGAAAATTTTAGGAATCTAATTTCATAATATGTAATTACATTTAAAAAAAGCTTTACCAACTAAAAAAAAAAGTTACTTACTCTAAACTTTTGAAGTCTATTTTGTAAAAAGACTTGTATTTGATGACTGGGCAGAATAAAACGTAAGTTATGAATTTTTCAATAACTAATGTTCATCCAAAGTATTAGTTAGAAAGATTAATGGATTTATGTTCACAATTTTTTATAATTTTTTTTAAAAGAGTTTCCTTTTATTTTGGAACACTTTCTAAGAAAATTAGGCATAATAACATACACTTGTTGATAAACAGTCCACAAATAAAAAAAATCAATAATTAATATAAAAAACAGACATTAGTAAATAAGAATGGAAAATAGTAGAAGGATCATTCCTCACTCACTCTTTACTTTAAAGAAGTACAAATGATGTAAAAGAGAACAAAGAAAAAACGAGTAAAACAAAAGAAAGAGAGTGAGAGTTTTAATAAAGACAAAAAGAAGAATAGAGTATCTATGTGACACAAAAGAGAAAATTGAGATGAATTCTCCTATTTATGAACTTTTAGGATAATAGTAAATTTACATTGATGTAATGTTTTTAATTTTTATTTACTTAAATTATTTATTGGTGTACCTGCCTTTTTTTTTTTTTTCTGTGTGACCCTCAAAATTGGACTCACAAATACTTACTCTTAGTAACTATTTATAAGATCAAATATATGTTTTTAATATATTTATAAAATTAAAATACATTATGTCAATTTTTAATATATCATAGTTTTTTTCATATATTTTACCTATTTTAATTGAAATTAAGTTTGTAAATAAAAATTATAAAATCTTTATAAATCAGTTAGATATTAATTTTTGAACATAATCAAATATTAGTGTTCCTCTAAACCTTTTCTACATTTATAGAAATAATAATTAAATAAAAAGTAATCGTTACTATAAAATTAAAATCAAGGTGTTAAAACCCACTTAAAGCAGAAAATTTAACCCATTTTATCCCAAGCATTCTCCAAAACCTTTTGAAAACAAAATTTTGATTTGAATACGTCGAATCTGGCTCGGGTCGCAGATTCGTTATTTTGACAAAATTTGATTTCAAGGTCTAACTTTTTAACTTGCAGAATAATTCAAGAAAAGAAAAGAAAAGAAAAAAAAAACAAGAATCCATAAACCCCAATTTCAATCCCCAAACTCAATCGCGCATTTTTTATCTGCTTCCATTTCGATCCTTTTTCTCTTCTCTCCCAATGATGTCCAAATTGCACGTATGTTGTCACCGACAATACAAACAACCACGACGACATCGTTTGGGAAGATTAAATCATGTCATAAAAATCCACTAGAAATTGCAATATATGCGTAACATTTAAAATACTCTAACAACATTAGTAAAAGAAAATAAATAAAATAATAAAAACATATTTAAATTTATTTTAAAAATATAAGTGGAGGCGTCCATCTGTCCACACAACATTTTCGTATGATGGTTGATATTTTTGAAGTATGGATACGAAAATTGAACGCTATTAACTCCGCGGTGGTCATTGTCGGCAGTTTTCTCTTCGCTTTGTTTTTCTCTTCATTAATTACAGCGAATATGAACCATTCTTGTCCTTCCTTCTTATCACATTCAAAAACCATTGCTTATTACTTACAACAACTTGCTTTGTTATTGGTTAATTAATTAATGCTTAATGCTCATAATTGCTACCAATTCAACATAATAATTCTCAAACACACTAGTGCAAAATCAGAATAATTTAAAAGATTACAATGAAATTTGAGTGTTACAGTGCATTTTTTTCTTAACAAAAAAAAATGTTGGAATATATTAGGACAAAAATTCCGTTAGTGTGAGAAAGAAAGCAATGCAAAATTGACGGAAAAAAGCAGTACCATCAACTTTCTTAAAGTTGTTCGTTCCAATGGAATTTCAGGGAAATTTTTAATTTTGGTTTGTTCTTTAACAGTATGCGTAATAAGGGTGTGTATGTAAGTGTCACAGTGTGGCAGCCAGCACCTTGATCTTAAGAGATTTGACAATGATTTGACGTTGATTGGTCACCAATAATTTCCAGCAGTTTTCCTTTCTACGTTCACAATGTGTGAAACCATCTGCCTAAGAAGACTGCCATATCGTGTATTTTATTGGGTGGGTCCATAGAATGCATTATTTTTCAAACTAGGTGCATGACACGTGATTGACTCATCACAATATCATGGTTGTAACTTTTGGGGTCCTAAGAGTGCCACCTCTAATGGTTTTCATCATTCACCAGTTGACACAGTCCTTAATAAACCTCAGCACAGAACTCACTTTGGCTACATGTGAAATCCACACTCTACTCTCACTGTGTTGCCTAACAAAGATAGAATTTGCATGGATTACGATGGTTGAAAGTTGGAACTAAGATCCTGCTTCTACCTTCTAAGCCTTGGGGACCTTATTTTCTTGGAAAATTTTCAACCCAAAGATTTGTATGTACCTTCCAAAGGGGGCAAATACAGTTCTAGATTGAAGCAAGCTTCTGTGCATGTCTATTACTGTCAACAAGAGTGCCTCAACTCTTAACCGTTAAATTAATCATTGCATAGCAACTGAAAAAGAAAGCATGTTGAAATTTTAACTGCAAAGAAATTCCGTGACAAGAGTATTGTATATGCATGCATCCGAAGATCGCTTGTAGTAAAATGAAAGGCAAATCCTATCTTGTGTTTTAAAACTCATTAGAAAGCTAAAAATTCAGTAAATATCTTAGAAGTTATAACTATTAGCTTGAGTAAACATGAAAAAACACGTCTAAGACATGAAACCAAACAAACTATAATTCAAATTCTTTCAAGGACATGGAATTCCTTAAATTTCCTGCCATATTATAGATGTACAATAACAGGATGATATCTAACATGAATCACTTTCACTTTTATGTTTTCTGAATAGAACAGAGTTGTAAAACTATACATTGATTTCATTAAAAAGTATAATTAAAAAAATTGACCAGAATACTTTTCGTGTTATTCATAAAACAGTTTTTATAGTTTTTTTAACACTGTTTTCAATCAATTCAGTCATGAAATCCTATCATTATCTACTATAACTTAAGTACTCAAATTGATATATGACATTTATAAAGACATTTTTTAAATATAAGTTCATCTCTAACACGAAACTCATGTCAGTCACCTATTGATTTGAAAGTCTATAGTAGGCAAAACTTGTCTAGAAGTCTCTCTTCAAGTATTTCATCATTTTGTCCATAACTACTTAGCACACCAAAAAGTCAATAATACATAACCCTACCACGTACAAGCTGGTGGCTATGGCCCTTTTGTGCTGCAATCAAAGTGCTTCCAGGAGGCACGTTGTTTCTGTCCCAGATTGCTGGGGATAAAGCAACATCTAAAGTAACGTGAACCATTATTACAAACTGCAATATACCACCTCCTTAAAGGGAAAAGTCACTGACATTTCCGAACACATTATTCTATCCACTTACAAGTGACAATCCAAATAAGTTAACAACAATATGAAATCATGAAACATGACCAAATGCCAAAAATGAGTACTTATGGGCCAAAGTAAAAACACGAGGTATATACAGTGATCAAAATGGGATTCGCACCTTCTTTTCCAAATTTCACTAAAAAAAAAAATGTAAAAGCCTGGCTCCACATAGTTTAGCAAAAACTTGCTCCCAGCATACCTACGGTCTCGCATCAAAAGAGACTCCAGTCAAGAACCCTGAAGCTTGTAACGGCCAGTTTAAAGACCTCATCCATGGGCGTACATCCAGCTTGAGCAGCTGGAACAGCTACACCAGCACCAACTGAGTCTGCGCTTTCGCTCAAGGGGCTGCAGACATATAACATTAGTTAGAATGTACGTCTAGCACATGTTGCAGAGTTTTCTCTAAATTCAGATGATATTTCATTTGATTTTTTATTTGATCTCTAATCTGCTTAGATCCAACGTTATTAGATTTAAAATGATGGATTACATATTAATATATAAACCAGAAAGGGTAATTTTCAACCCAAAGGAAAAGACAAATTGCACTCATATAATATTGTGTACATATCAGAATAGTACTTTGTATATTTTCCATCGACACAAATCTCCTGATTTATATCTAGCTATATGGATCAGAGAGGTCAAAGTAATCCCAAAAAGGGGATGAGTATCGAGTGTAACATAACTAAACTAAAGGTGATGAGCATAATTTGTCCAAAAGGAAGTTGAACAAAATCCACCAAAACTCAATAGAACTAACCCAATCAGTCATAACTTGAATTGCAGGACAATCTTGGGAAGAGTTTATTGTCAGAAATAGATATTCTAAAACTTACTTTATAACAATGGGCTCGTATGCAGTGACTAGAACATCAGTATCAACTTCTTTAAGACGCAAATTTGCCAAATAAACCTGAAGAAATTAAACATTTTTTGGAATGATTCAAAGATCAGTTGATGCAGGAACAGAGTCAAATTTGCATTAGCGAAAGTTGAAGTAAAGCAGAACCTACTTTCACAATATTTTGTGCTTCCCTTCCTTGCCGTCCTTTAGAAATTGCCTGGCAAAAATTACATTTGCCAATAAGTTATTAAAAGTATGTGCAGTGGCATAAAAATCTCAAAAAATTCACACATGCACATATTATATATAGAATAATCTTGCACAATGGCAATATGAAAAGGCATCAACTTTCTCTTACGAGAAAACAAAAAGACAGCTACTGATAGAGGTGTCCATAGACAATATCATATTTTTCACCTTTAAGTGAATAAACTTGAGATTAACATCCAAATTGAAACCAGCATGTGAGTATCATATTTAACTAGTACAAGTATTCCACTATTAATGTATTTTCAGCTTGAACAGCTTCAAAAATCATCTGATAAAAAACTCTTGAAAAGTTCAAAATTACACTTGTAAAGGAATAATATGTAATTCCAGTTTCCCTTGTCTTCAACAACAAAAGTTTTATCCAACTGTGTGATGTTAGCTAGGTTCCCTTCTCTTCAGGTTACAAATCCATGAGTATTTCTACTGCTTGCAAGTCAAGACTGAGAAATTATGATAACTTTTGCAAGTTGAAACAACATGCAGGGTAAAGATGGATTAATGCAAAGTTGGCATGTTTATTATAAAAAAAATGCGAAGCTTTAAAAAGGCTCAGAGAATTATGGCACTATGTTGTAGCCTTCAAAACTTTTTTACTGAAATAATATAAATGGTTAGGAAAAACCAACATTATATCACACAATATATTTCGTGGTCTTACTCTTTATTTAGCTTCTATGCAGATCTGATGTTGGGGCCAATTACAATATGCATCTTTATAACCATGTACAGGCATGTGAAAATGTCTGATTCAATAGGGTTATTGAGTAAATTGAACATAACACATTTCATAGATGGAACTCAATGTCTCATTTGATAATCTCAGATTGAAAGTAGACATCGGCATAGGCATTTATAAAACTAAATGTTAATCATTATTCCCAGTTACCACTAATCAATGCCTTAGTTCTTCACAATACATGCAGAATCCATAAAATCAATAAACTACTGACATAGATTGGAAATTCAATCAGCAATATACAGACAATAAAGAGATCAACATATATGTGAATATCTAAGAAAGTGGTAGAACAGACTAAAACCTATGCTTCATCTGTAAGCAATTCCTCCTAGCATACCACACTGGAAAAATTCATTTGCCAATTCAGATTGACACTGATGAATACGCAGCTAAATATGCTCCAAATTAGTCCAAAAACACAAGGGTGGGTGTCAATTTAATAGTATTGAGGTATGGGTAGCCACCAAGATGCAAAATTAAATTAACAAATACAATTAACACCAAGCAGAAAAAATAGAGGCTACAATACAAGTTCACACAAGTAATCATGTAATAAAGTGCCATTATCAAATAATATCAAGATCAAGAGTCATAAATAAATAAGTAGGAAGTTCAGTTCATTCGGTTTTGGACTAGTAACATTTTTTTTCATCTCATTATCAAATAATATCAAGATCAAGAGTCATAAATAGATAAGTAGGAAATTCAGTTCATTCGGTTTTGGACTAGTAACATTGTTTTTTCATACCCTAAATCTGAGAACGACGAGTATTGTAAATAACAAGGTGTGCAAATGGATTGTGAAATCTAATTAGCAAGCCATAAAAGTATCAGAAACAACATATGAACAGAAGTCACAAGGTTACGCATTTATATGATCAGGAAATGATGTAGAAATACAAATCATGATCAAGACAAACACGTAAACTTTACCATCTGACCCACTGCAGTTGTTACAACTGCAGGTGTATTGTAGTACGTCAAACCAGGTGCTTCGAGAACTCCAGACTGTTCAATAACCTGGGTAATTTAAAGGGGAGAGATGATCATGAGACACAGTAAACTTAGATGATCACGTAACAAGATAAACTTTTGCAAAAAATAAGACATTAGATGGATAGCTTCAAAGGAAAGCTACTTCTCTTACAGAAGCCCCTTTTCCTTCTCCTACTGTTGGTATCACTCATTCAATCCGCAAAACCTCTTTGCCAATGTAGATGATAGAATGAAGTTAATAAAATTCAATTTCTATACACCAATTACAGTGCAACACTTCAAGAATCTCATAATATGAGGAAAAAACATAATGTAATGATGACATACCACACTTCCTTCAGCATCCTGTTCAATAGCAAGGTCTTGAAGAAACCATACAGCACTCCCGTTATCAGCAACATCAGGCTTGAATTCTAAAAGCTCAATGATCAAGCTTTCGTCTCGGTTTGGATCGACGAACACCTCCTATGTTGCATGAACAACCAAAAGCCAGTCAGAAAAAGGATTAAAGAAAACATTGAATACAATCAAAGAGAAAAAAACATGACTAAACCTGATGATCAGGAACTTCTCGAATGTCGCTGACATCCTACAAAGAAATAACCAGAACCTTAATTTAGCAAAACTAAAGTCACACACAAAGACAAAAAATAAGGACAATGCAAAACAAAACAAAAGAAAAATCAATGACCTGGAACCTATTGGGGAACGTGCAAGATATTTTGCCACCAAACAAAGGGTGTTGATAAGTGATATCTTGGGGCATTTTTGGACCAATAAAAAAACGGGACAGCACCTTCACCACCCTAATTTACATCAAAAACGCAAAATCACCACCCCATGTAAGCAATTCACATGAACAAGTTAGAATTTCACATAAATGTGCAAAGCTAAGCACAGTAGTGCATATGAAAAACACTATTGGGATACAAAAAATCCTAAAGGGGAATTACAATACCTGAAAAGAATCGAAATTCTTGCGAAGGAGCAGCAGAGGTAGAAGCTCTAGTTTGTTCTGCTGCCACGGCCACCTAGTGTAGGTATAAGCAACCCGCCGGTTTGACCCGACTCGTGTTTAAAATGGGTTGATCCGACCCGGTCCATCGACAACAAAGAAATAGCCTGGCCCGGCCCACCACGGGTAGATGGGTTGAACGGACCTGCCCATTTAAACCTACACTACTATGTCAGAGTCAGAGAACTAACACAATAACCCACCACGCATGAATGAACTGTAGAAGGGAGGAGACAGTCTCGGTGGTCGTAGTGGAGGCCCAAGCTCGTCGTTGCGCATCCCATCCTTGTCAGACTAGCAGACTTGCGTGGGATGGGAGGAGGACGTTCGGCGGTGTGCTGCGTCGTTGGTTGGTGTGTGAGAGTGAGACCAGTATGTCGCAGTGAAACTTCGCCAGTGAGAGTGAGACCAACGAGAGTGAGAGCGAGGGGTGGGTGGGCTGGTTGGGCCTAATAGAGATGGGAGTGCTGCTTGAATAAGAGGGGGTGCAAAACATACGATGGGTTAGATACCCATCATGAATTCGGCTCGTCAGTTTGAAAGTTGTCCAGATTGAAAAATTGAACCTATTACGAAAAAAATATTAGTATGGCCCAAAGTTGACAAGCTAGAGCCCACAAATCACATTTCTAATAACAAATACTACTTCAAAAAATATCCGGTCCAAATTCGAGATGGGCCCGCAGTCCAGAACCCACTCTCACATACGTAATAACAAATACTCCTTAAAATAAATATAAGTTTTCACCCTTTATTTACAACTATTATTATTATTTATTATTAAATGAAGAATTTTTTTTATGATTTTTGTAATTCTTAACTATTATTTTATGTAATTTTAATAATTCTTTTAATTTCTTAACCAACCACACTGGTTCGCATAACCCTTGAAACTAGTTATTCTAGGATATAAAATATGGTTGTATATACAAGTAGAGTTAAATATTTTTACATAATAAAAACATTATACGTATTATTGAGAAAATAGTTAACATAAAACAATACAACGCTTTTCGTTTACATGACATTTGTTCTAAAATAATAAACTATAAATCTTTTTTATTCTAATTATATTTTAGTCAGAATCATTAATATATATATATATATATATATATATATATATATATATATATATATATATATATAACAAAATGGTGTAAGAATATTATAATAGAATAAATTAGTTATATTTGTGTAATGCATCACTATATACTTTTTTATTCTTATTATATTAAGTTTTAAAGATCCATTCCCAATTGTATGAATTTGTTTTTAGGCACAAATTATTTTTGCAAAACTATACTTTTTGTGATAGTAACTTCATTTAGTTTAAGACAGTAACATTTGAATAATAGTGAAGTGAATTTTTCAACCTAAGATTTTTTTATATACACGACATCAAACATAACTTTTTTTAAGAAAAATGAGTTTGAACAAACCATTCATCAGTAATTAAATTGATATTACATCTCTGAGCTACTAATCACGTGCCCTTTGAATTCCTTGTCTTCCCTTTTATTTCTCTCTCAACTTCCCTCTTAATGGAGTTAGTTATCAATTACAATCTGTCCCTCTTATTCTTCATTATATACACCCTCCAAACCTATCATAAAATATGCTACAATAATATCCCAATCACTGGCAACACCAACCAAAATACATTTACACAAATTTGGTCAAAAAAACTTATTCTCATATTTGCAATCCCTTTCCATGTCTGGCAGAAAAGCATCCTTGAATGACAAAGAACTAATGCTATAACCAGCTAAGTACCACACCAACAGATAACCCCTTGTTCAAAAAAGATTCAAAAAAGGTACCATGACAAAAAATCAGAAAAGTAAAACGTTTGGTAATCTGAAACTGAAGTGACTACATACATAAAACAGGGTGCTTATTTATAAACTCCTACCCTACTCTTAACTGACATCCTTCTGAAGTAGGAATTCCAAACCATATAAAAGAACTAACTACAAGAAAAAAAAAAAAAAACGGTAATGCAAGCCTTTATTTGAAACAATAAAATGCAATAAAAAAAAACTAAAAAACTGTTTATTGTCAAGATTTTCTAATTTGCTTTGCTCTATCATCAGTCTTTGGTATAAATTCCTGGACAAGTTGTTCATCATCAATCAGCCATGGGAGGTGGAACAAAGAGAAGCCACCAAAATAACCTCGTCTTTAACTCTGAAGAGTGGATGTATCTGTTAAAATGCACACTTTGCACTCCAACTAAATTCACTATCCACAAGGAATTGAAGCTTCTTCCTCCAGTAACTGCTATCATAAATTACAAGTTCTTTACCTTTCTCGCTGGAAGTAATAGATACCTTTTAAGCGCAAGAATAAGCACCCAAGTAGTAGCAGAGATCTTTTCCTTGATCATTAAGAGCAGTGCTGAGCTCAAAACAGTTTTTAAGATCTGAGCATGCAATCCTTTATAATATCCTAGTATACCCTCCCTTTTCCATATTCCATAAAGAACATTATAGACTGTTTTCTGTGATTTTATCTTTGTTTTGGAGTTTGATTCATCTGAGTCTGCAGCTTGAATAATAACTTTGCACCTATAAGCAGAAAGAGATCTTAGAAACCTCCTATAAACTTATTCCAGAAATCAAAAGCAATTGGAAGAAACAATTAAATACCTGATAGCTGGATATGTTAGACATGTAGCAATGCTTTTTGAAAGTGCACCTAAAAGAAAGGCCATGAATGCAGAAAGAGATGCAGGGGATGTTCCTTTATCAGCTTTGTTTTGTTTATTCTTTAGTGCTCGCTGTTTCAGCTGATCAAACACCGTGTACTGGAGAACATGGTAGTTCCAAATTAAACTCTTTTGATCTCCAGATCAAGCATGCAAAATGTAACTTTACAGAAAAGCACACAAACATGATATACAGAATTCCGGATGATACAAACTGCAGCTTGACCTACCTGAATTGCGGGGTTTGATGTCAGCAGCAAGGAAATACTGAGGCCATCAAATGCATCACTCCAGGTTCCTTCGGTAAGGGTTTTAAGTAGCCCTTTGGACTTTCCAAATGCACTTGTCTGCATCCTTGAAGAGGCTGTATCCAGGGGCTACAAAGTCATGAATAAGATATGCTTAGTAATAAACTTACAAAGTTTGATATGATACTTTGTCTATCATACAATACATAACAAACAGAAAAAAAAAATGTTTATAGCAAGATAGTAACATAGAATAGACACCTATGATTTATTAGCAGATCCATCATTAAAGAGATGATTAACAAAAAATTTGAGTAGGTTATCCATTAAAAACTTTAGCCGTGCTTTATGTATAATGTGGTCAAACATGTTTTATTCCAGAGATACGATAGATTCTCCACTATTGATTGATTACACATTCAAAACTGAGAATCACCAAAAATAGCCTCAAGTAACAAAACATAACCGTAGAAGACTTTACTCTCAATTTTGTTCGCAGATAGCAGCATGAAGATAATGAAAATATGGTATTAAGGTGCCCTGCTCCAAAAACCATAAGTGTTTTGATTTGTAAATATGCAATTAAAAATAGGAATAGCTAGTGCTGCCTCACCTGAGTTACAATGGCAGTGCAAGCCCCAGCAGCAGCAGCAATAACCAAGTTTGCTTTTGTACCAATGGATTTATAACCACTTTTTTCTACATACAGTCTTTTAAAATAACTGTATCCATAAAAGTAGACAAACTGTGAAATGAAGGATTGAAGATTCTTTGTTCCAAGGCCCTGGTAAAGTGAAAGCACTTGACCGTTAGATATTGCCTCCAATAATACATCGGTGAGATTCCTGCAAATTTAAAAACAATTAGTATGAAAGTATACATACCCAAGAGATATCTCTTGGCTAATTTTGACACACAATGGCCAAGAGGTAAAGATCAATCCTACGCACTCAACCTGCATACTCAACCCAAGAATGCATTACACTTCCCTGTCTAATTCCTTTAAAGAAACATAAAATATAAGACTCGTAAAAATAAAAAATTAACTATTAAGCAGACTAACACTGAACAGGTTTTTGTGAGAATTAGCTCTCCTCAATTTGGTCCCTCTACTCCAATATTTATAATTGAAGACTAAAGGGTCTAATTAGTTCAATACAAAAGGGACAAGTTGTAGACATGAGAAATGTGTTCTTTATTGGAGGTAAAAAAAATGGAGGAACAGATGCTCTGGTTAAATTCTGTTATTTTTTGTTGGTTATAGAGAAGCTTTCTGTTAGTTGTTTGACATAGTTATTCCAGTTATATAAGTTTGTTATTAGGTCCTTCCTGCTGTAATACAAACACTTCTCTTGTATTTCAAACTGAGTTCATTTTTCAATAGCATTTTATCTTTTCTCTGTTTCTCTTTGCCATCAATGCAGATTCTTAAAATACCAGAGGCTGAGATCAATCAATCAACCATCACTAACCAATGCCTCCGTTCATCCTTCTGAAGTTCCTACCAGCCCCTATGACCTTCATCCAACACTATGTTTGCAAATAGTAAGCAAAAAGGCCTAATTGTTTGAACTTTTAAATACATCCAACTTGGTGGTTTTATACATCTAGAATCTTTAAATCTTAAGAAGTAAATCGCCACTGTTGGCTGATCCGGTTACCTGGAAAAGTCCCTCCCAACGAATTAATAAGTGCAATCAGATAGAGTCAACGAGAATTACAATAACCCCAACTAAAAATACTCCTTAGTCTATCAAACTCAAAGCAAATACTTGAAAAGTACAGGGCAATTAAGCAGGTCTTTGATCACCATCTCCTCCACATGAGCTTATTCACATTTAATATAAACTTTTACTACGTAAATCTCCCAAGGTAAAAATTATATTCTAATTGAAGATCAGCATCAAAAGTAGTCTTCACAATAAACCCAGTTTAAAAAATTACATCTTTCATCATTGATCACCATCTCCTGAACAAAAGACTACAATACAAAATATCGATCCAAAACACCCAACTGTGGGAGGAACACGGAGAAAACACTTTATAATCACCCCATGAACAAGGGGTGGGCAGGAACATGAAGAAATTGAAATTCAAAGACGAATTAATGGTATGAAGGGAGTCGAGAAAAAAAAAAGAAAAAAGGTAAGGATGAAAAAAACCTGTATCTTGTGCGACCGTGGGAACGAGCGTCGGCTTGGTACTTGGTCTTGCAGGTGTCAAGTGGGTAGAGAAAAGTGGTGCTGACGAGTGATCCTATGGCCCCAGAAGTGGCCTCTGCTAATGACTCGAGATCCACGTTCATCTTCCTCCGCCTCCTGGGTGGGTTGTTGGAGAATGGAGAGTATCTATATTTTATTTTATAATAACTAGAATAATATTATATATAAGATAGGTAGATAGCATAAGACAGGGAAGAAAAAATGGGTGTTACAGTTAGAAAATCGAAAGGAAAAGAAAAAGATGATTTGGAGGAACGAGGTCAAAAAGAAGATTTCATAAGTTGATCATGGAAGGGCAGCACCACGTAACGTTGTGAGACGGGGACATGTTTTATAGGGTTCCACGAAACCAAGGGACGGAACATAAACGTGAGTGCCGTGCTACGTTACGTTGTGCTATGTTACCGCGTTGTTGTTGTGTGCGTGCTTCTTTCTTCCTATATTTCTTGACTAGACTGTGTTATGTCATGACACATGTGGATAAATACAGGATGAAAGAGACGCTATACCATGACGCATGCGGATACACCATGACAAAAGGTGACATTCTTTTGAACAAAATAAAATAATGTTAATTATATTATTAAAATTATTTGATTTGATTTATATTCAAGTTAAAATACAATTTGACTAATTTTTGCATTCTAGATTTTATCCTTCTACTATTAGTTTATATTGCTTATCATATTTATTTGTGTTAAAACTTATCTAGTGTCATGCACGGTAAAAATTGTATGCCAAATATATTTCTTAAAAATATTTAAATTTTAAACTAAAGAATGATACAAAATACTATATACTTTTTTTCATTTTTTTCATTATGGTTGAATTATAATTTCTTAAAAAAAAGAGTCATTTATTTCAAAATATATGACTTTTAAAATTGGGTTATACATATCAATATAAGTATTAATTTGTATTATTCTCAATAAATTTATTAATCTTTTTTTCATTAATATTTTTATTATCATAGTATTTTCTCATCTAAATTTATTTTGAATAATTTTATATATTATGTTTACAAAAAATATAATTAAAAAATAAGGATATATTGATAAATAAATAATTAATATAATCTTAAGTTTTATTTTAAAAAAACTTAATAAGATATCATATATTTTTAATGCCATATATTTTAAAATAGAAGAAATATTCTATATATGAAAATTACCAAATGAATAACTAAATTATTTGTATGGATAAGTTTGACATAAAAGATAATCGACAATCGCTTTCAGTAAATTGCTATAAATCTATTTAGGGATGGCAAAACGGGCTAGGCCCGACTGGCTGGCCTGCAGCCCGCCATAATATGGCGGGGTGGGTTGGTGTTTTCACCCACTAGCCCCTTTGGCTCTGCCCCGCCAAGCCCGCTAGCCGTCGGGCCAACCCGCGGACGGGCGGGCCAGCCCGTGGCCCGCCTAATTAATAAAAAAATAATTTTTTTTTGTAATAAAATTAATTATAAAGATAATATATAAAGTTAAAAATTTTAAAAAGAGAATTAAAAAAGTTTCATTCTCACAAAAAATATTCTCCTTCCCGAAATATAACATTTTCTCCTCGTTCTCCTTATTTATCCTAAGCACTGATTATATTTATCCTTATTACTTGAATTAAAGATATAAGAATTACTCAACCAAGAATAATATGAAGTTTTATCAAATAAAAAAGATATAGGTATTTGAATTTTACAATATAAAAAATATAAATTTTATAAGTTTAACGTTATTTATATATATATATATATATTTGTTATTATTTATTATTATGTAAACTTTATTATTGTTCTAAATTATAATTTCTTAAAATAATGTATTGATTTATATTATTAAATTGAAATAATATATATATATATATATTGAATTATTGACAAACAAATAATAATCTTATTATAAAATTTATTAAAAAAATTATTTAAAAAAATTATTTTTTTATAAATTATGGCGGCTAAGCCACTAACCCGCCTCTAGCGGGCGTGCCAAGGTCTACAACCGTCATGACTATATCGAGTCAGTCACGCTCACCTCGCTTTAGCGGCCAAAGGCGGACGGCCAAAACAGGGTGACTCGCTTTGCCATCCCTAAATCTATTGGTTAAACATACAGTAAAAAAGAAAAAAGAAAAAAAAAAGTTAATGAATCTCTGTTACAACTCCTATTACAAAACATCTTTCTCTTCAATTTCTTCGGTACCAAACATAATGTCATGTTTTCAATGAGGAAATGGTGGTGTTGAGACATCGACAAACTTACCACTAAAAAGCTAAGAAATGTGTATTTGTATAAATAAAATAATTTTGTTATAAAACTAACAAATCATCAAGTTTTCGGCTATGTGAGAGTGGCCCATTTATACTCACTCTCTCGTAGGGTCCAGTTAAGGTTTGATTCAAAGCTGCTATTTTGAATACAAGGCCCATTGTATGTTTTTCTACGAGCTCAGTTAAGGTCCGATACAAACGGCCGATACTGGGAGCAAATTGTCCAGCTCAATAAAAAATAAAATAAACCTTATAGATAGATAATAATTATTTAAAGTTTTTAGTAGACAAAATTATGACTAAATGTATTCAATTTAAAAAATACATGGATTAAAGAAAATTTTGAAGGTTATTATGGTTGCATAAATTCAAATTAAGAGATATTTGGTTTGCAAGGCTTTAATTTTTTTCGTTGTCTTCAAATTATAAGAAAATATTTTCTGACGCTTTTGTATTCTTTTTCCTTAAGATAGGTCAAACACAATTGGGGTAAATGAATGACAACGAGTTTTATTAAATTCTATTTTCGAATAATTTAATTAAAGGAAATCAAGTGTTTCATAATTTTCATCAATAAAACCTGTTGGATTTAAAATGATTCTATCATAGTTAAAAAAAATTATTCTATTACGTTTAATTCATGTTATTTTGGAATAATCTTCAATAAACTAAGGAATAAAAGTGTAGCCATTTTAAACGAGTATAACACGCTCTTATTTTGTTACTGAAATCATTTAAAACAAAAATTAGAACTTTATCTTCATCATTGTATACAAAAACAATAGTATTATTGACAAAGTCAATGTATTATGTTAGTAGGTTAAAAATAGCTATTTATTAAATTAAACGAGTTAAAAATAAATAAATTTAGCTTGGCCCATCGAACCTACCAACCAAATCAGCAAAAGTGCAATCCATGATACACATGGGCTCGGCCCAGCTCGCATAAATCAGTAGGGATCATGAATTAAAAAATATAATTGATTGTTTTTCGTATTTAATTTAAAAAAAAATGGTTTTCTTTTAAATTGGAACTGCATGTTCCTCGAATAACGACGGTGAAGAAGAGTGGTCATGTGAGGTGGGGCAAGTGTGAACTGTGAAGACGAATCTTTCTTTCTTGCGGTTGAACTCCATGCTGTCCCTTCCCAACAACACACTTTTCTTTCAATTTATTAACACCCATTCTTACATAATTCTCCCATTTTCTATTTTCATTTTTATGCCCTCCTCCAAGAAATCTCAGGGTTGCTCTCACAATCCAAGAGTAAGTTTTTCATTAGTAAAAATAGAAAAATTGAATAATTTGTAAATATGAAATACTTGTTTTAAGTTTAATGATTCTGTAAGGAATATTTTAAAAGGTTGATTGGGATTAATTTATTTAAAGAAAACATTTTTAAAGTATTTAGAGATGAAATGTATTTTTTAGCTAAGATTTTTTTTCATGCACAAAAAAAAAAATGAGATTCAAAGTGATTAACTAGTTAAGAGACACAACCAGTTGTTGGTACCAGCTGTTGTCTGTTACTTAATGTAGCCTTAAAAGTAGGGACCCCTTAAGCGAAGACCCGAAAGTGTAGGGGCAACCATCACCCATCCAAGCCAATTAATTTTTTTGCCTTTTTCCTTAATTTGTGGTAGGCCTCACTATCGGACTTCGTTTTCCTCGTCACATTTCTCATATAATGGTTAATTGGGAGGTTCTTTTGAGGAAAGTAAATATAAAAACAAACATGATGGAATCATTTTAATGTGTATTTTTTTAAGTCAAAACATGTTTGTGGTTTTTATCCTAAACAACAAAGCTATGTGTGTTTGTGTGTGGTGTGTTTTGTCGTGATTTAATTACTTAGAACTTCACCAAGAAACCTTGTCAAAAGGCACTTTTTGAATTTGGAGTTTCTACTTGTTTTGCACCCTAAAAATCTGTCTCTGATGCGAACATTTCACAGTTTGAAAAATCATCGTCAATGCAAAACAAAAATGGACTTCTTGCCAGGAAATCGCTCATTCTCTAAAATCAATTCATTTCTTTTCATTTTGGTTCCCAATTCAACAACTAAATAAATAATGATAATAAATTTAGTAATTTATCGTAGTATAAGTTCAATCATGAGTAACTTAGACAATAGAGAGGATCCAACTTGCTGAGGCCATTGTCAGTGACAAATATGTTATAATTTTCTTAATTTTTTGTCTGGAATGATTGTTCTTGTATATTTGCTTTCAACCATTTTTTTTTATCTTAATACGCTTCTTCGTCGTTTTTTTTTATGTTGTTTTCCCTTCCTTTTTGTTGAACTTGAGCAAAATGATAAAATTTATTTTTAAAGTTGAATTACTTGTAAAAACATCTAAAAAAATTAAGTAACTTTAGAGTATATTATATGAAAACTTCTTAACATAAAACTTGTTTCAAATAACCCAAATAATTCTGAACGTTTTGTTGGTGAAAATGTTCTAAATATTTCAATTGAAATAATCTTTGATTTTCCCAAAATGATATACCACCTTGAAATCTCTAATTCAAAACATAATTTAAATATTTTTTTCTTACTTGAGGTAGTCTTACATAAATAAAAAATTATTTACAAATTTCTTATTTTTCTCGAATTAATACGACAAAGATACGCTAACGAGGATTAAAGACCATTTATTATATATAAAAAGGGAGAAAATAATAAAGCTAAATGTCATTTTCCATTTCCCCCAATTTCCATACAAGACAAGGAAATGACATAAAACAACTTCCGCTGGTTTTGGATGGATACTCATCTGAGTTATAACATTCCGGTCTTTGATGTATACTTTGATTTG